CTAACCTGGGAGAACCAGGTTTGCTTCCCCACTCCTCCACTTGCAGCTGCTGGATGACCTTGGGCAAGCCATAGTCCTGTCAAAGCTGTTCTTGGAAAAGAGCAGTTTTTGTCAGAGCTCTCTCAGCCCCACCTACCTCATAGAGTATCTGTTGTGGGGAGGGGAAGGGAAAGGAGTTTGTAAGCTGCTCTGAGACTCCAAGTGAAAGGTGGGGTATAAATCCAGTCTCCTCCTCCTCCTCCTCCTCCTCCTCTTCTTCTTCTTGTTCTTCAGAACATGGAAACAACTGGCAAGGAAAAGTGAAGGACAAGCAAGGTCGCCCACTAGAGCGCAGGGTCTGGTACAAGTGAATTTTTCTCAGTGTAAGACTTTCTTGAGTAGAAAGAAAAATGGTATCTGCATTTAGAAAAAACTGGATTTCTTAAGTTAAACTCTCTTGGAAGCATAGTTTTTAACTAGGACTTCAAGGACAAAAAAGTAGTCATCGCAGCAGAAGAGAGTGAAAACAGGAGTTAAACATCAACTGATATAGGAGGGGTTTTAAGGACAAGCAAGGTCACCCACTAGAGCGCAGGGTCTGGTACAAGTGAATTTTTCTCAGTGTAAGACTTTCTTGAGTAGAAAGAAAAATGGTATCTGCATTTAGAAAAACCTGGATTTCTTAAGTTAAACTCTCTTGGAAGCATAGTTTTTAACTAGGACTTCAAGGACAAAAAAGTAGTCATCGCAGCAGAAGAGAGTGAAAACAGGAGTTAAACATCAACTGAAACAGGAGCTCTGGAATTTCATCCAGAAACAGAATCTGGTATGGTTCTATTTGCTGTTACCCAGTTTGGATCTTCACATTAGGGAGAAAGAGGAGCTTATAAATAAATTTAATAAATAAATGCATGAAAATGTTGGCTTCACCATGCACTTCGGGCAATTTTGTTTCCTGTTCTTTGGCCCTGTACTAGACTTTAAATGGTCATTCTCTAGCACCATCCAGCACATGTGCAATGTGAATTGTGCATCACTTTGGAAATTAGAGAGAGATTAAAATTATCTGATGGTTAATGCAGAGGTGCAAGAAAAAGAAAAAAGGTATGTTGCTGTCGTTCTTCTTATTTCTTAGCAATGTTAGCAGATAGCTCTTTGAAAATGTCAACTCTGTGTGCGGGAGTGATGAAAAAAGGCAAACTCTATGCTGGGGTTTATTAGGAAAGGGGCTAAAAATAAAACAGGCTACATTGTAATATCCTTGTATAGGGCTGCGGTGTGGCCCCATTGGGAATATTATGCTCAGCATCAGGTGTCGTATCACAAATAGGATATTGCAGAGCTGGAAAAAGTACAGATGAGGGCAACTGAGATGATTATGGGACTGGAGCACCTTTCCTATGAGGAAGAGTCTGGGAAATTTCAGTTTAGAAAAAAATGGCCAGTGGGAGATAAAAAGAAGTTTATAGAATTAGACATGGGGTAGAGAAAGTAGATAGAAAGAGGAGGAGGAGGAGGAGATTTGATTTATACCCCGCCCTTCACTACCCAAAGGAGTCTCAGTGGCTTAAAATCTCCTTTCCCTTCCCCATAACAGACGCCCTGTGAGGTAGGTGGACCTGAGAGAGCTCTCTCGAGAACTGCCCTTGAGAGAAGAGCTTTGAAAGAATTTATGACTGACCCAAGGTCACACCAGCAGCTGCAGGCGGATTGGGAACGGGCGCAGCACGATTCCCAGATGTTGCTGTGGGATCGCGCCCGTTTGCTGCGGCCCTGATCCGTCCCTCTCCCGGCCCAAAACCTCTCGTGCGAACAGGGCCTGAGATTATTATGGGACTGGAGCACCTTTCCTATGAGGAAGAGTCTGGGAAAATTCAATTTAGAAAAAAATGGCCAGTGGGAGATAAATAGAAGTTTATAGAATTAGACATGGGTAAGAAAAAGTAGATAGAAAGAGGAGGAGGAGGAGGAGATTTGATTTATACCCCGCCCTTCACTACCCAAAGGAGTCTCAGTGGCTTAAAATCTCCTTTCCCTTCCCCATAACAGACGCCCTGTGAGGTAGGTGGACCTGAGAGAGCTCTCTCGAGAACTGCCCTTGAGAGAAGAGCTTTGAAAGAATTTATGACTGACCCAAGGTCACACCAGCAGCTGCAGGTGGGGGAGTGGGGAATCAAACGCGGTTCTCCCAGATTAGAGTCCATGCTCCTATCCACTACACCAAACTGGCTCTCATCATCATGGAAAGTCCTTGGCCGTTGTGTCCTGTTAGTTTGCCATCCAGGACAAGTGGTTTGGCCACTGTGTGGAACAGGATGGAGCACTGGTCTGATCCAGCCAGATTCTTCATATGTTCTTATGTTAATCCTCAGAAGATGCTCAGTATTCACATACCATATTTATTTGGGTTCAATAGGCTGGTTTCCTTATAGCTGATATTTAATAAATCTGCTTTACATGCCGAAGCAATTGTGAAACTACAGATGTCCCAAATAATCTAGTCCTAATCAATGTACAGATCTCCCCACAACCTGCACGGGCTGCCCCATTCATTTTAATGAAGGAAGTGTTTCTGTAGGCCCCTTCCATTGCAATGACTGGAATGTTTCTAGTGGTCATGCACGTGAGCCGGCTTGCGGGGAGGGCAAGATAAAAATGTGAGAAAAATATAAATAAATAAATAAATGTTAATGAGGCTCCAGACTGGGGTAGTCATCTACAAACAAAACTACAAGGTAAATTCACATGAGATTATATCCCTGCAAATAACTTGCTTTATGTTACAGAATTCCATATTTTTTTGTATTTGAATTGCCCAGAAATCTAAGTATGTTTGAGAAGAAAATGTGAAACAAGAGTACAACATGCCCAAAACATATAAAATCTAATTATGTGCATAATTATGGAATGCATATATTGGCTCAAAGATTAAGAAAATTCTTACACCATCACTAAAACCAAGAAATAAAGATTTCCCATTTCCTTTAAAACATGGTTACCATTTATCCATAATCAAAATCACACTAGGGGGAAAAATCCCAATAGTATTCAAGTGTTTACTAATTTTCATTCATCAGAGCCATGGTAGGTGAATGTTAACTTGACTACTTAAAAGAGAACTTGATTTATGCTTGGCTGAACTGTCTATTAGGTTTAATTATTGCCTTGATCACGGGCCAGGAATGAGAGTGCCCCATGCGCTGAAACTCTTGCCAAATGAGTCACTGTGGGAAACATTAATTTACTGATGTGCATTCGCAGAGTGCTTAAGACTCTGAGTATTTCTTTGTGTTAGATGTTAATGGAAGGCCCCGTGAATGGTCTCAGGGCACCCGATTCTGCAGCCCTGTTGATGCCATTTCCATTTCATTTATTAGCTTCATTGACCCGAGGTCTTAAGCCAAACATGCAAACAACAAATATAAAATGCATTACATAAACTTACAAGAAATTTAGACAAAACGTATTTACAATAAAAGCTAGTAAACATGCTCTCAATCAGTAACATGAGACCACATTTTATAAACTTCAATGAATTCTATAAAATCCCATGATATTATGGAAATTAGTTTTAAAATTTTAAAATTGTATACAAAAGGTACTCATAACATTTCAAAGCCGCTTTAAAAATAGCACTATTGAAAGATATTTTGCCACCAAGCGAGTCGTTTCAGGGTCCGCATCAGCTAATAGTATGGTTATCACCCAGGGTTCCATAGGGAGGCGATATCTTTGTAAAATAGGAGTAATCCAGCAGGATCTGGGGTCAATCCATTGGTGGCAAAATAACATAAGATGATCTAAGGTCTCTATTGCACCTGATCCACAATCACACAATCTATTTGAGTACTGTATTTTAGCAAAACGGCCACTTAGCTCTACAGTTGGAAAAACATTCAACCTTGCAAGCGTGAAGACATATCTAGATCTGGGGGATGTAAGGAAGCTCATATATGAGGGAGTTTTCTTAGGTGGAACAATCCCTAAGGCAGAGTTGGAGCATACTCGCCTAGCACGAATTGAAGTGCTGAGTCGGTCAATGTTTGTCACCCTCAATCTCATCAAATTTAGCGCTTCTTGATAATTTAAATTATTAAGCACCGTAGGGGCGAGACCAATCCACTCCAGCTTGTTATCTATATGTTTTGCCCACGTACATTTATAATTATCCCCTTTTAAAAGATAAAGAAGACCTCCTTGAGCATTAGGTGTCATATAAAGAACTTTCAGTCACAATTTAAAGGCTGCCTTCCAGGCTCTTGACTCAAAGGAGCATTGTGCGAATTCTTCTCTAAGTGCCGTCCCTGCGACACATTTAAGGACTCCTGCAATTTTACGCAGGAACTGGAGCAGGATCTGATGAGATAATTCCGAAATTTCTTTAATCCAGATCGCAGCCCCATATAAAAATTGTGAAGTAACTTTCGCATTAAAGCCCTGTTGATGCTAAACTAGTACATACCTGGTCAGTACCTGGATGGGAGGCTACCAGGAGCCCCATGTAAATCACTCGGTTCTCCAAAGGGAAGTTGATATAAAAATTAGGAGTGGGCACTTTGAAAAATTGTATTATTTGGATTCAGATTTTGGGAATGGGTTGCATATTGGTATTCCAGAATATTTGGGTCCCTGACATACTGTTTCAGAATTCTGATTCAATGGTTTGGTTTTGCTTTCCTTTTTGGAATTCCAATTTTTTGGGGGTTCATTATTACATATGGGGGAACTTTTTCTGGGAAGCTGCAGTGGGTGTTTTACAACCAAATGACACCAAGGCTTCAGAAAACCTAGACTTGTCTTTCCGGTGGGGAGGGCAGGGTATAAATCAAATAAATAAATAAAAACAAATAAATAAAAGGCCCTCCAAGTTTCAACCAAACTGGATCAAGGAGTCCAGTTCTATGTACCCGTGAACAAGGTGCCCCCAGCCATCCTGCATGTCTCCATTGTTTTCTATGGGAAGAAAAATCCATGATTTCTCCCGGGCAAAGAAGCCAATAGCCAACCACACAAGAGCAACCATGAGCCACAAGCCTCCCAATGCAAAAAGGAACCAGCAAGCCCAACAGAACCAACATCAAATCAAAGAATCCTTGCAGACTGTGGTAAGAAATTTTAGAAATATAGAAAGTTTGGGTTTAAAAATGAACCAAATATTTTATAAAATCCATGTATCTGTCTCTTGTCATTGCTAGCAAAACAGCAAACAGGCCTAGCCTGCTTCACTGAGCCAAAACCCAGGACTCTTGACAAACCCTTTGTTCCAGACAAATCTTTTCTCAGTCACACATACAAAAGTTCACAACATTCCATTCCCAGGATCTCAATCAATGTAAATTTCCACAGGTGTGAGACTTGCCAATACCCACAGCAATAAAAATGCAGCTGGCAGGGGGGGGGAAGCCATTTGGGCAGTGACAGACTCCAATCCAAAATGCAAACCAACTCCTGAGATACAGGAATTCACATACCCCACTTCCACCTCAGAGTTAACTTCAAAGTTATCTCTCTCATAGTTTCAAAGAACAGTTTATCCCCAATGGTGGGAACACCAGGAAAACAATAACACTATACTGATCCGGTAAATAAAAGTGAAAACTTTTGTTGTGTGAGATCAAGGAAGCAATTTCCTGTAAAACAATTTCAACTTCTACATGTTAATTTACAACTGTAATTTGATTATTGAGGGACCTCTTTGATCATTTGGTATAAATACTGGTCAGATCCAACAGACTTTCGCTGGCTCTCGAAGGAACAACAGAGGTCTTTGCCCTCTGCAGCCTTTTGGAGTCAGCCCGAGAGGCCTTTCGTTTTTCTGCATGCTTGGGTGAGATATTTTTGCTTGTATGTTCATTTTTCTGTATATTTATTGCCTGCCTTTAGGAAATAGAAGTGTACTGTGTTGGCAAGCTGGCATAGCATCTTGCTGGTCACCTTGCCAAGTAAATGTTTGAATGTTTTTCTTTAATAAAGATAAGTTTTATTTTAAGAAGAGACCTTTGAGTGTCTCTGCCAGCCTTTAGTGGTTTCCAAGCTTACACCTCTGCCTTTGGTAAGGAGGCAACACTCAGGGGACACACGAACCAGAGGGGGAGTGTGGGTGGCACGGATAGACGCATTCACAGACACATGCAGCCACACTTTTCCTACAACACAGACCTACAGGCCAATCTGGCACCAATGTCAAACCAGAGAATCCAAACCAAACTAACCTGGCAAGTCAGTACCAAAGCAGCCAGCCAGACCTGGTAGACACAGGCACACACAAACGCTAACATCAGTTTCCCAAGGAATACCTCAGAAAGTGAGAAAGAAGAGGACTGGGACACCTCTCTGTGCAGTCTGCAGCCTTTATCTTCATTGGCTCAGAGGAGTCTGAAGACAAATCTGCAGCTGCCTTCTCTTCTAATAAAGTTGATGGACAATAGGTTCAGGACAGGCAAAAGGAATGAGTTCATTACTCAATATTAGGGGGACAACCTTTGAATGGTTGGGGAAACTGATGTATATCCTAGGACACATGTGGGGTTCCCAAATAATTCCCCCAGGACTGTTTCCGGCTAGGACAATGGTGCGGGGGGAGGGTAGACTGAAGCTCCTTTTATGCATGTGCTGTAATCCTAATCTTAATCAGGTATTGTTTTATTACCATTCTACTCCTTGTTCCTTCTTATAATACATGTTATCATTGGCCACCATCAGAGCTGGAACAGCAAAGTCACCACCGTTAAAAAAAATTCCTTTTAAAAAACTAGGACTAAGCAACTTGTTTTAAATATTAACAGATCCTTCACAGGTCAGTAATGATGCAGATTGTTCCAACGAAGGCATCAGCTTAAAGACAGAATCACTGTTTCTCTGCAATTTGCCTTGGGAGAAGGAAAACACTTAACAATGGCTGGGATCCAAATTTCCACAAGTGGAGCAGAGCTGATGGAATAGATCTTAGCTGTTTTCTTCCTCTAAATCCCTGCATATACACACACACTTCAAAAAGACACTCCTGAAGGTGGGGGGGGGAGACCATTGGGAATAGTCTGTAATGTCATGTGGGAGGCTGCTGAAATCTCAGTGCTGTCAATTACTCACCCGTCTGATGGTTCCTTTTAAAACTCCCATGCATGTGTAGCTTGTGCCTGCGGAGGGTGAGAAGACAGCCACCTGATCCGCCCCCTCCTCATTGCAGCCCCTCATAGTGCAGTGCATTTGGCTCATGAGTCTCCAGAACCACAGGAAGCCTTATCAGGAGAAGCAAGAGGAAGAGAGTGGAGAGCAGGAACAGAGCTGCTCCGTGAACTCCTTCCCTCTGCTTTACTGTGGGATCCAAGCCTGGGCTTTTCAATTTGTGACCTTACAGCTTGCATTTAAAGAAGGAGAGTGGTTTTTAGAACAGGAAAACATCTGGGTACAAGGGGGGGGGAAGGAGCATCTTCCTTTAGCCACTAAGACTGCAAGCAATAGCAAAGTGCACCAAGGAGGCAAGAGGTAACTTAAGGACATCCATATTTATTTATGATACGGATGTTCTTAACCTTCTGGGCCTGGCAGCCTCAGCCTGTGATGGCACAGGAAGCCATCTTTTTCCTGTTTTTTGAAACAGAGCAAACCTTGCTCTGTGGAGGTATTCAGTGATACTGAGCAACAGCACCTTTTTTTAGGGTCTCCCAAGTCCTGATCCTTATACACCAGCCCGACCCACTCAGCCAGAGAAGGAGACAGCAGATCCTCAGGAACAGCCTAGTATTATTTATTTATCCTATGGCAGAATTACACACTGGAAGCATGTAATAATATTAAATACGTAACCAAGTTGATACAACAGTTATACAGACAGGTTGAGCAATCCCCCTAAATACTAATATCTAAATTTTCAATCCACTCAATTGCAGCTGGGGAAAGTTCAAAGAGCCTAGTAGTAAAGTTGCCAACTCTGGCTTAGGAAATTCCTGGAGATTGGGGAGTGCTGCCTGGGGAGGGTGGGGTCCGGAGAGAGGAGGGACCTCAGCAGGGTGGAGAGTCTACCCTCTGGAGCTGCCATTTTCTCCAGGGGATTTGATCTCTCTACTCTGGAGATCTGTTCTAATTCTGGAAGACCTCTATGCCTCAGCTGGTGGCAGGCAACCGTATCTAGAAAGATTTGAAGAGGGAAATTGGTGGGCATCGGTGCAACCTTATATATGAGTACTGACACCTTTTTGAAACAAAAATAGCACGCTGAACACTAACTTCTTCCCCCAAGCAAACAGTGGATCTCGGGACAGCCGTTTGGAGATTGGGTCCCGCCTCCATGACAGGTATCTGGTGATGACACCAAGTTTAATAAAGTGGTTTGAATGTTGGATCAGGCCAGCTCAAATACCCATTAGCCATGAAACTCACTCACTGAACTAGAGCCAACGTTCTCCTCTTAGCCTAAACTGCCTTACAGAGATGCTGTGAGCCTAAAATGGTGTAGGGGGAAACGCATACATGAACACACATGAAGCTGCTTTGTATTGAATCAGAACCTTGGTTCATCAAGATCAGTATTGTCTACTCAGACTGAGAGTGGTTCTCCAGCATCTCAGCCTGAGATCTTTCACATCCCCTACTGCCTGCTCCTTTTAACTGGAGATGCTGGGGATTGAACCTGGGACCTTCTGCATGTCAAGCGGATGCTCTGCAGCTAAGCCACAGCTCCTCTCCCTATGCACTCCCCTAAATTCCTACCTCACAGGGTGTCTGTTGTGAGGAGAGGAAGGGAAGGAGATTGTTAGCCGCTCTGAGACTGCAAGTGAAGGACAAGGTTATAAATCCACCACCTCCCCCTCCTCCCCCTCCTCATAGCCCAGAATAGCCTCATCAGATCTCAGAAGCAGGGTCATTCCTTTACTATTTTGATGCAGACCTCCAAGGAATACCAGGGCCACTCATGTCACGGAGGCAGGCAATGGAAAACCACCTCTGAACATTTCTTGCCTTGAAAATCCTATGGGGGTCACCATGTCGGCTGTGACTTGATGGCACTTTTCAACACCACTAAATTCCTTGAAGGAAAGTTAGGGTAAAATATAGTAATAGTAAGGTATATGAAACCCCTCTCTCTGTTGATTTTAGAAATGTTTCACACAGATAGCTTTTTTTTTAATGAACAAGTCTTGATAAATCATTTTGAAACTGTGATTTAAAACTGAACTCCAAAATAATGCTTCATCTTAAAAGTAGATGCTCTGGGGATTAACAATGCTCCGGAGAATATTCGTGAAGCATCTACTTCAAGCCATATGGGTGTTTTATTTTGTGTGTGTGTTTTTTTAAAGTCAAGTCATCCTGGTACCATTAGGGGGAAAAGTTACTCTGGAAATGCTCAAAATTGAGAAATCAAGATTAAGAGGCCTTTGGAAGGCTAGTAAGGAACTTGGATGTGGTCCATCTAGTAAAGAGTTGTACAGTGGAGAAAAAGGTGATTTATTCCTGATTCCGGGTAATAAGGCCAAAAAAGGTTATGGGACTGAACAGCTGAAAAGCTGATTAAATAAACATTGTCTCAGTATTCATCACTCACCAGTATTCCTCCGTTACTAAAGTATTACTATTGTGCAACATGCTTTTAATCTTTAGCCCCAGTACAACCCTAGTCATGTGCAACTTGTCACCTAAGGAGCCTTCCTCTGACAGAAATAATTCCTCCACCAGAGGAAGAGCCATTTTTGTCAGAGAACAGGCTGTTCTCTAGCTGGAGGGGGGTCAGTGCTATTGCTTTCCAGCTTACCCTCATACAGGTCTAGCAGGAGAGATGATGGGTGGGTCAAGCTCTACCTCTTCCCAAAGACCCCCTCCCCAAGCAGGGAACAGAGATTGGAAGGAATTAAGACGAGAGAGACTTCAAGAAGGAAAAGCCTCTTGGACCTGGCATGACCAGGTCAGTGGGTGGAGAAACAGATGTGATAAAAACTCCTTGCAGGAGGTAGAAGGTCTCTTTTCCTTGGGTGCTGAGTCCATGAGTGGACACAGACCTCTCCAATGGGAAGGCAGCCATTGAGCATGTACTTGCCTAAGGAGCTGAAGCAAGCTTTAAGGTAATGGAACTGTGTAGAGATTTAGAACTCCAAAGGTTAAAGAGCCT